TCTCAGTCCTCCAGGTCATGGTTGTCCCAAAGGTGCTTTTTTAAGAGGCAACTGGACTTCCAGAAAGTCCAGTTGCCTCTTGAAAAAGCACCTTTGGTACATCCTGAGTAGGCGGTGAGACCCTAACTGCAGAGACTCTGTCCCAGGGGTCTGCAACCTTAAACACTTCAAAAGGCCATTTGGACCCGTTTCCCCACAGAAAAGAAAAAACACTGGGAGCCAATAATTTAAACAACCGGTAGGACTGGGTGGGCGTGGCCTACTCAAGGTCACTCCCTCCCACCCAGTCACCACCTGCTCTGGAATGTAGAGCAAGTCTCCGCCCCCTTCCATCACCCTTACCTTCTCAGGCCAGGCGAGGAGGGAAGGGGAGGGGCCAGCCAGTGGTGGGATCAGCCGACAGGGAGCCCAAAGAGCCCATGTGGCTCCAGAGCCGCAGGTTGCAGACCCCTGCTCTGTCCTGTGAGTGAGGCAACCTTTGGGGTCTGCTTGCTTTCTCCTTCCCTGTGGTGTAAGAGCCTTGGTGTTGTGCTCGTAGGTGCATAGAGCAATTGAGGCTCTCTCTGGAAAGGAAAAACGCTGCGATCCAGCTCTTGGAGGAAGGACAGAGAAGACCTTCAGAAGAAAGCCAAGATCCTAGTGCTGCACTGGATGATGAAAAAGAGAAGGCCTTAGAGGTAAGGGACATGTGGGAGGTTGCTAAGGATGGTCAGTAGGCGGAAGGTTTGTCCCATCCATCCATCCATCCATCCATCCATCCATCCATCCATCCAATCAATAAAGGAGAATATTTATAGCTCAGGGTGGAACCGTGGGGTCCTTGGTGCTGTCTGAGCTTGGAAGTTTTCTTGCATATGTTTCATCACCCAACTAGGTAACATCATCAATGCGAGAAGAGAATGGAGGTTACAAAGGAGGAGGAAGAGGAGGAGGAGGAGGAGAGGAGGAGGAGGAGAACTGTGGGGTCTTTGGTGCTCTCTGAGCTTGGTAGTTTTCTTACATATGTTTCATGACCCAACTAGGTAATATCATCAATGCTAGAAGGAAATGGGATTTGCTTTTGGTTATATGCACTTGGCTTGACCTGTTTGCGTCATTTCTCCTTCTCCTCCTCCTCCCCTCCCTCCCTCCCTGCAACCCCCCTCCTTTGTAGCACTGAGGCTCTTACCTAGTTGAGTCATTAAATGTGTGCAAGAAAACAAGCCAAACTGAGAGCTATTTAACAGGGATCAAATCACTTGCACTGATGCTGTTGCCTAGTTGGGTCATGAAACATCTGCGAGAAAAGAACCAAGCTGAGAGAGAGCACCAAGGACCCCTTACTTATCTGTTCATTCATCCATTCCTTTGTTCAATATGTATGGCCTTCCATCTAACTACAAGTGCTTCTGTGTGGTGAACAAATCATAAAACAAATTAAAGGAAGTTACCACCACATTACAAAAATTAAAATAACACTCCATAGCCAAGTAGGGTTTTATAATCCGCAAGGAAGCGTCTTAGAAAACATTTTGATTTGCTTCCCTCTCTCTCCGTTTTTTAAACCCTAGGGAATGCTTGCATACCAGCTTCTCACTTTGGTGGAATCGATGAGGAGAGGCAATGTTGGTCTCTTCAATTTCTGTTCCAGGTTTCTAGTCCTCATGCCTTCTCAATGCAATTCTCTTTTTCCTCCCTTCCCATTCCCTCGGTTTTTCCATGCTGCTAAGCACAAGTAGCAAACAGCCATCTTATCTTTTTTTTTTGGTTATCGCCGAAATTAAAATAATTTTTTTTCTCTTCTTGTAGATTCTCAGGACCGAATTCAGCAGTGAAAAAAAAGACTTGGAAAAAAGGATCGAGGTACGGCACTTGTATCTTTTGCACTCAGAACTTTAACATCCCCAGGAGGAGAATTTGGGGGAGCTTTTTTCCCCTCTTAAAATTCAATTTTCTGAAAATAATTTCCCCAAGCCAGAAGGACATTTAGCTGGAACCCGTTCTTCTGTAGCCCAAATAATTGTTCTCTATCAATTCTGGGGACGCGGTGGCTCAGTGGCTAAGACACTGAGATTGTCGATCAGAAAGGTCGACAGTTCAGTGGTTCGAATCCCTAGCGCCGTGTCACGGAGTGAGCCCCCGTTCCTTGTCCCAGTTTCTGCCAACCTAGCAGTTCAAAAGCATGTAAAAAATGCAAGTAGGAAAATAGGGACCCCTTTGGTGGGAAAGGAACAGCATTCTGTGCGCCTTCTTTGGCGTTCAGTCATGCCGGCCATGTGACCACGGAGACGTCTTCGGACAGCGCTGGCTCTTCTTCGGCTTTGAAACGGAGATGAGCATTTCCCTTCTAGAGCCGGAAAAGACTAGCGCGGATGTGCGAGGGGAACCTTTACCACCACAATACAACGTAGGTGTGTTAAAATCGAATTGAATCTGGATTTACATTAAAAAACAACAACACTTTTAGGGTCTCCAGGAGAACCTTCGTGACCGGGAAACGGAGCTTTCTGCTGAAAAGGAAAACGCACTGAAACGTGACAAAACCATCCAGGGTTTAACCCTTGTTTTAAAAACCAAGGAAAATGAGGTAGGTGAGATTTTTGTCCGTCCTGCCAGGAACATCTGAAAAAACCGAACAAAATCTTGAGGCTGAAGAATATATCAAAATATAAATGCATCCTTGCCTGTATCAGATTCAAAGTCCCCTTTTCTATGAAGGGAGGCATCCTCTACTCTCTGTGGTCATTGCTGGTTTCCATCTCTCTCTCTCTCTCTCTCTCTCTCTCTCTCTCTCTCTCTCTCTCTCTCTCTCTCTCTCTCTCTCTGTGTGTGTGTGTGTGTATGTACTGTATATGTATATATATGTCTTCTTTCATTTTGTTTCAGAATGGAGAACTTGCTTCTGAAATAGAAAGCCTGAAAGCATTGTTGGCCAAGTCTGGAGAGATCGGTTCCCAAGCTCAGACACAGAAATTCAAGGTTGGGCAAAGGAGATGGAGGAGATAGTAGTATTTGCAGCTCAGGGTGGAACTATGGGCGGTCCTTGGTGCTCTCTGAGTGGGGTTGTTTTTGTTAGGAATATAAGTCACCTAAGAGCTATTTGGGCTGGACAATATATAAACCAGGATAGACATTTTAATACTGTCTCTTTAAGAGAATCATAAAAGTGTAATTGGGTGTGGCTTCTCAAATGGCCATAAGATGGAGCCAGAAACCTGGGTTGTCTTAGTCTTAGTCTCAGAAGAGAGTGTGTCTCAGTCTGTTTCCTTCTGTTGGAGAGTTTTGCCGTTCTTCCTAATTGACTGATATTTTTTGGATTTGATGTAAGTCTGATACTGAACTGTTTTTGACACTGGACTTTGTTATTGGATTATCCCTGGACTGAAAACTGACTGATCTTACCTATGAATGACTTTGGACGGCTTGTTTGAACTTTGCTTAACGTTTCTGAAAGTAAAAACCAACATTATCTCAACAGTTTTCTTGCAGACGTTTCATGGCCCAACTAGGTAACATCATCAGTGTTAGAAGGGAGTGTGGTTTGTGGAATGGAGGAAAAGGAGGAGGAGGGAGGGAGGGAGGGAGAACAATGACTATCTGGTCTTTAGTGCTCTGTGAGTTGGGTTGTTTTCTTGCAGACGTTTCATGACCCGACTATGTGACAAGGAGTGGAGTTTGTGGACTGGGAGGGAAGAGAAGGAGGAGGATGGGGAGAAAGGAAGAGGAGGAGTATTGTGGGGTCCTTGGTGACTCTTAGCTTGGTTTGTTTTCTACAGACTTTTGATGACCCAACTAGATAACATCGTCAGTGTTAGAAGAGAGTGTGGTTTCTGGAGAAGAGGAGGAGGAAGATTATGGGATTCTTGGTGAATTTAGTTGTTTTTCAGCAGACCTTTCATGATCCAGCTAGATAAGACACTGTTCTAGAAGGTGCTGTATATAAACAGAGAACAAAGCCCACTCCCTTCTAGGACAGATGATATTACCTAGTTGGGTCATAAGACGTCGGCAAGAAAGCAACCAAGCTCAGAGACCACCAAGTCCTTCATGGAGTGGGACCGCCCTACGAGAGGCCTAAACCACTTCAAATGCAAGAGAAGGTCGCCATCCCAAGGCACCACGTTTAGTCATGCGCGTGTTAAAAACAACAACAACAACCCACCACCCTTTTAAGACCTGTGGGAAAGGCTGTTGTAACAACCCATTTGATTTGCTTCTCCTAGGAAAGTGCCGAAGGTTCTCAGGAGCTACTGATGGAGAAGGAGACCCTGCTGGCAGACCTGCGCTCGCAAAACCTGACCAAGGACACCGAGAACCGGAAGCTCCAGCGGAGGCTGAAGAGGACCGAACAGGAGCTGAGCGAGCTGCTTCTGGAGAAGGAGAAGCTGGGGAGAGACTTGGAAGAAGCTCGGTGGCAGAAAAACCAGAGCGACAAAACCATCCACGTGAGTGCGCCGCTTTTCTTGCCCCCTTTTTTTTTTTTTAATATAGAAGGAATAGACTAGACACCCAGCCCTGGCTTATCAACGGAGACCGAGGGGAGCAAGTGGCCAGTTTTAAGTTTCTGGGTGTTGTCATAAAAGAGGACCTGGCCTGGGCGGCGGCGGTGGGTTTCCAATTTTTTTCCTACCGGTTCTATGCGCATGCTTCAGCTGAGCTTCACGCGTGTGCGCGGGGGCTCAAATACAGACCTCTGTCCATGCTGGTGACCTGCCTGAACTGGCTCTTAGCTCAGCTAAGGGGCAGCAATCGCGCGGAAACTTGGGTCTCTTGTGGCTACGCAATGATTACGAATTGATGGCGCGTTTAACTCCGCCTTCAGCCTGCTCATTTTCTACAGGGTTAGTTATTCCTACGTTAAGTGTGATTTAGGAAAATACCGGAACCAGCAGTGGGATCCTACCGGTTCAGTGATTGCAAACGCGCACAGGCACCTAACACGTGTGCGCAGCTTTCCCCACACCAGCTGAGGCCTGCAGCGCCAGTCATCTGAGAGGATAAAGAAGAGAAAAGCGCAGGGGAAGGTGGGAGGGCCGATCCTGCGCTTTTCTCTTCTGGGATGACCCAGGGCGTGACACAAAAATAACAAAGTCACCAAAGTAGAATAAATTCCCTTTAATGTCTCCAACTTGGGCCCCAATGTCCAATTATCCTCGGCTGGGTAACAAACTCTTCAAAGAACAATTCTACGAAGGGCAGAAATGCAGTCCGAACCCAAAGTAAAGATAATTAGAAATTAAAAAAAAAAAAAAACCAACACAAACCACACTGAAGGAATTAACACGGCAGGCCAGGATGATAAATTGCAGACTTTCAAAGGATAACGCACCACCCGCAGTTGGGAGGACGCCAAAACCCAGATAAGCCTCGACCAAAATAATGCACGCTTTGCTTCCAGCAAGGAGCCGTGTGCAAATAGCCCACTTATATTCCTGTTCTCCCAGCTGAAACCAATGAAAGGGATCAGGGCCCTTTTCTCTCCCGTAAGCCACGTTGCTCCCTTCTCCGTTCCTCCCTGCGTGCCCTAGGATGAAGAGGGGATTAGCCTGGGTCTTCCTCTGAATGCCCAGCCGGACTGTGCCCTTCCCCAATTTTCTCCACAGCCACCGGAGCCACACTCCCACTCCTGTCAGCTGCTCAACCTCCCTCTCAGAATCAGACTCCAACAGGGGCGTGACATCTTCTTTCTCCTCTTAGCTGATCGTCGGAGGCTTTTTTTTTTTTTACTACCGGTAGCATACAGGTACCCAAATTGTAGATTTGCGGCTGTCATCTTGCTTCAAGCCAGCAGAGGGCTGTCTCTCTCCACAAATGGCCACAACATTTTCACCTTCTTTTTGTGTGATCTACTTTTTATATGCCTGAATTACCAATGCGGTGTTGTTCCCCACTGTTTCTCTGGTTTTTGTTTTGTTCCCCCCCCCTCCCCCCTTCTGCTTGGGTGAGCCTGCAAAAACCTTTCCTGCAAATACGGGCGACAGGGATTTTGGGCGCCTGAAATGAATCTTTTACCAAGACAATGTCATTCACTTCGTGACCGTTCAAAGTTCAAAGTTACAACGGCACTGAAAAAAAGGGACTCATGGCCGGTTTTCACACTTATGGCCGTTGCAGCATCCCCGTGGTCATTGCTTGACAACTGACTCACATTTATGACGGTTGCAGGGTCCCCGAGTTTACGTGATTCTTCTTTTGCGACCTTCCGACAAGCGGTTGGGAAACCCAATTCACTTAATAACCATGTTACTCATTTCACGTCTGCGGTGATGTTCCGATGTGCAGCAACCCATCTTGGTTTGCAAACGGGGGAGAGGGGAGCCGCTCCTTCCATCGTTCCCCCTCCTCCAGTGTGTCAGGACTGAATTGGGGATGATGGGAATTGCAATCTTGGTGCATATGCAAGGATGGAATATGCCCAACCAAGCAGTTTTGGATATCTGGAGTCCTTGATGCTCTTCGAATATGGTTCTTTGCTTACAGACAGTGCATTACCTAATTAGGTAACATCATTGGTGGTAGAAGAGAGTGGGGTTCGGGAGGAAGAGGAGGAGGACAAAGAAGGAGGAGGAGGAGGACGAGGGGAAGGAGAGGAAGAAGATGGAGGAGGAAGAGGAGGATAGAAAAAGGAGGAAGAGGAGAGGAAGGAGACTAAGAGG